CTGGGAGGGAGCCGCCGGCCTGCGTACTGGTCGCGAGGTGCCCTCCAGCACGCACCGCTCCTGGACCACCCTCCAGGGAAATGGCGGCGCTTGCTCCCCAGCATGCCGGGTGTTGGGCCGCATCCGCCAGCTCGACAGCCTCCACCAGCTCGGAGGTGGTGGTTGGGTTCCTCATCCCCACTACCTGTCGGTGGGATCAGGGAAGGGCTCGGAGGAGACGGTCAATCACCACACGTTTCGCCACCTGTCCAGCCGATGGAGCCCCCTCCATTAGCCAGTGCTGCGCGAGTCGTGTGGGTTCGGCGGCCTGGGCCGGCAGACGGGGCTTATACTCCCACTCGTGGAAGTGCTGGGCGGCACAGATAGGGGATAACCCCAGGCGGCCTAGGATTTCCTTCTTGACCTCCTTATATTGATCGGCGGAGGCAAGAGTGAAGTATGCACGCGTCGCCCGTCAGCAGGGGAGCCAGCACCCGTGCCCAGTCATCCTGATGCCACCCTTCCAAGGTGGCCGTCGCTTCGAACATTTGTAAGAAGGCTTCTATGTCTTTATGAGGGGTCAGCTTGGGTAGCAGCTTCGCGGCTTGCACTTGGGGGTCCGGCAGCGGAATGCGTTGAGCGGCGGCGGCACGCATACATGTTACATGCTAACCTCGGTGAGCCGCTGGAGAATTTCGTCCATGGTGGGGGAGGAGCGCTCACCTATGACAGAACCCGGAGACAAAAACAAGGGAAAAAAGGTGAGGTGAAGGAGATCGCTTGTCTGTGATTCTTCACTGATTTTGCCTGCATTCTCCACCAGTGTAACGGGGAGAAGAATCACATGACAAGTAATCTCAATCAATACCCCGGAGGGTGGATTTATTGGGGTGATGGGTGTTCGTGAGAAAGGTCCAGGTAGGTGGTCCGGTGCCGTGAGTGCTCTCTTCCGTCTTCCCAGTGCAGTGGGTCCGTGCAGTGCTCCTGTGGGGCTGGTCGGTCACACGCTGCTTTCTGTGGGAAAAATGAGAGAGTGAGTTAGTGCTCAGTCTCATGGAGGAATCTCCTAGATGGCAGGGCTTGCGTGGCTTATGTAGCCGCCGCCTGATGAGGTGCAGCTGTGACCGATCAGCCTGTGATGATGATGGCCAGGTGCTCCTCGCTTGTTTCCAGGGCGACGCTGATGAAGCCTCGGGACGCTCGTCACAATATATAAATATTTGCATGGATTACTTCTACAATAACTCTGTATTTTTGAAGCTTGAAAATACTGATTATCTAGACTTTAAATGGATTAACAAAAAATTATGAGAGAAAATTTTAAATATCTTAATTTGTGTTCTAAAAATAGACAAAAGTCTTATATGTTTGGAATGACATGAGGGCAAGTAAATGATTTATTGTGTGAACTATTTCTTTAAGAAAGGAAGACCAAGAATGATGACTCTCCAAATCAGACAACTCCAAAGCTGGTTTGAGTTCTGCAATGAAACACAGACATCAATGGTTTACATAAAATATGAAAACGTAATCATACTGTTGTTGCATCAAAATGTGAAGTAAACAGGCAGGAGACAATGGAAACATTTATTTTCTGAAAAATAACTCCCATCAATCTCAAAAGAATGATGCTCTCCTATGTCTCTGGCTTTCAACATCTACAAAAACAAACATTATTTTACACTTAGTAAAAAAAAAAAAAATTGATAACATGATGGAATTCTGAAGTTTACTTGCCTTAAACAGTCTTACCCTCTCTTCTGAAGAGGCTGAGAAAATCACCTCCTCACACAAGCAGGGTTCTTGTGTTGTTAACTCCCGGCGCGGGCACAATGAAGACACAAAGCTTTTAACAATTATCACTTCATCAGCCTCAAAAGAATTAGGCTAGTCTTTATTACATAACGCCGTTTCCTTTAGGAAACTACATTCAATTTAACCACGAAAAAAAGATAACAAATTAATATGTAAATGTTGATAACCCTCTCTTAACACCTCAAAAAAATTTAAATATTGTAAAATCTTATGTAAATATGACATAAGACACTCACTGACGTTATATTAAAAGCACCTTTTCCTCTTTCAGAATATTTCCGCTTTCCATAAAATCTCAAGATACTACCGGACTCAAACAAAGAATGATGACTTTACCTTTTTAATCTTTACTTACCATAAACCATCTTTCACTCACACTCGCTTCCACCTGAAGATGCTGAGAAAATGGAGGCTTCTCGCACTGGTGTCGTCAGATGTTAACGTGACGTGCGTGCTCTCTTTCACGTCCGCGTTCCCAACCCAGCACCGCTGGGTCAATGATCAAGACCAATTTTCAACCCAAAATTAGGTTAAAACAACCCAACGTCCTTACCAAGCGGTCTCAACCCAGCATTTGGGTTGAAAAAAAACAGCATTTTTTAGAGTGTAATTTACAAAATGAACAATACAAAATGCAAATACAACTGCTTCAGTACATATTGCAAGCTGATATGTTCTGAAGAGACTTGATTGACATATACAGTATATGAACTTGGCCTTCATTCACAGGAACCCAGCACTAGAGGACCAGACCTGTGATTGTATTTATAGGGTGGGACAGTCCCGGGATGTTACAATATTTATTAATATACACTTGAAATTACACAGCTATTCAGTATAGTTTTTTTTGGTAATGCAAGCAAACATTAAATCTGAAATCTGCAAAACAGTGTCATAAAGCCAGACTATTTAGCTAATAGTTAATAATATTGCTGCAGCATGTACTATCAGCAACCACAGTTTGTTTTTTGAGCAGGTTATTATAGCACAATAATAGACTTGCAAAAAATAATTTGACTGTATTAGAGTATTTTTTAATCTTTGTATATTGATCAAATATATATATAGTAATAATCAAGCTTGATTATTTCACAGACTTAAATCACGCAAAATTGGTATCTGTGCAACATAAAATTAAGTGTCTCAAACAAAACTCTGAAAAGCTTGAAAATACTGATTATCTAGACTTTAAATGGATTAACAAAAAATTATGAGAGAAAATTTTAAATATCTTAATTTGTGTTCTAAAAATAGACAAAAGTCTTATATGTTTGGAATGACATGAGGGCAAGTAAATGATTTATTGTGTGAACTATTTCTTTAAGAAAGGAAGACCAAGAATGATGACTCTCCAAATCAGACAACTCCAAAGCTGGTTTGAGTTCTGCAATGAAACACAGACATCAATGGTTTACATAAAATATGAAAACGTAATCATACTGTTGTTGCATCAAAATGTGAAGTAAACAGGCAGGAGACAATGGAAACATTTATTTTCTGAAAAATAACTCCCATCAATCTCAAAAGAATGATGCTCTCCTATGTCTCTGGCTTTCAACATCTACAAAAACAAACATTATTTTACACTTAGTAAAAAAAAAAAAAATTGATAACATGATGGAATTCTGAAGTTTACTTGCCTTAAACAGTCTTACCCTCTCTTCTGAAGAGGCTGAGAAAATCACCTCCTCACACAAGCAGGGTTCTTGTGTTGTTAACTCCCGGCGCGGGCACAATGAAGACACAAAGCTTTTAACAATTATCACTTCATCAGCCTCAAAAGAATTAGGCTAGTCTTTATTACATAACGCCGTTTCCTTTAGGAAACTACATTCAATTTAACCACGAAAAAAAGATAACAAATTAATATGTAAATGTTGATAACCCTCTCTTAACACCTCAAAAAAATTTAAATATTGTAAAATCTTATGTAAATATGACATAAGACACTCACTGACGTTATATTAAAAGCACCTTTTCCTCTTTCAGAATATTTCCGCTTTCCATAAAATCTCAAGATACTACCGGACTCAAACAAAGAATGATGACTTTACCTTTTTAATCTTTACTTACCATAAACCATCTTTCACTCACACTCGCTTCCACCTGAAGATGCTGAGAAAATGGAGGCTTCTCGCACTGGTGTCGTCAGATGTTAACGTGACGTGCGTGCTCTCTTTCACGTCCGCGTTCCCAACCCAGCACCGCTGGGTCAATGATCAAGACCAATTTTCAACCCAAAATTAGGTTAAAACAACCCAACGTCCTTACCAAGCGGTCTCAACCCAGCATTTGGGTTGAAAAAAAAACAGCATTTTTTAGAGTGTAATTTACAAAATGAACAATACAAAATGCAAATACAACTGCTTCAGTACATATTGCAAGCTGATATGTTCTGAAGAGACTTGATTGACATATACAGTATATGAACTTGGCCTTCATTCACAGGAACCCAGCACTAGAGGACCAGACCTGTGATTGTATTTATAGGGTGGGACAGTCCCGGGATGTTACAATATTTATTAATATACACTTGAAATTACACAGCTATTCAGTATAGTTTTTTTTGGTAATGCAAGCAAACATTAAATCTGAAATCTGCAAAACAGTGTCATAAAGCCAGACTATTTAGCTAATAGTTAATAATATTGCTGCAGCATGTACTATCAGCAACCACAGTTTGTTTTTTGAGCAGGTTATTATAGCACAATAATAGACTTGCAAAAAATAATTTGACTGTATTAGAGTATTTTTTAATCTTTGTATATTGATCAAATATATATATAGTAATAATCAAGCTTGATTATTTCACAGACTTAAATCACGCAAAATTGGTATCTGTGCAACATAAAATTAAGTGTCTCAAACAAAACTCTGAATATATTTCAAATATTTGATGCCACTAATCTGCCTGGCCACCTTTGGAAAATCTTGTAATTGGTTTTATCAGGAACTGTCTTGTACTAAATGGTCTGGCAGATCTCATGGTCATCGTTGGTGTGTGATGTCTGTTTTAATCTAGAAAATAAATATGAAATTAGTCTCAGTGTAATTTTATCTGCTTTTGCTGTTGTAGTGCACCCTGTATTGTATTTCTTTTAAAATGTCATGAAAGCAAAGACTTCAATGCTGTTTCAATGCTGCATGTAGGTTCTGGGGTGGCAGAGAAGGGTTCTGGTCTTGCTGAGGAAGGTTCTGGGGTGGCAGAGAAGGGTTCTGGTCTTGCTGAGGAAGGTTCTGGGGTGGCAGAGAAGGGTTCTGGTCTTGCTGAGGAAGGTTCTGGGGTGGTCCATTCATTGATTCAGAGTTTCTTGACATGATTAAGTCAATCATTTGGTTAGACAAGTATGTCCAGTCTAAACCATCATTTTCGGGTACATTTAAAACATTAATAATTTTTTTTTTAGAACTTGTTTTCACTCTCTCTCGGATTTCCTCCTCCGCATATCTTATTGTCTCCTCTTCATATATGTCTTCAAATAGAGACTTGTAATAGGATGTTGTGCAAAACTGACAACATGTAGAAACCAACAGCCACAATAATGGTAGAGCAAAAAGGAATCCCAACCCGAACGCCTATGGACAAAACAATGAGCCTGCATAAATATGCATAGTTATTACAGAGTTTTAGAATGAATCTTTCATGGATAGTTTTGTAAAGGGACAACTACGGCTATGTCACATGGGCAATTGGGGAAGTTATTCCTCCAACATAAATTGAAGATTTTTGGTCAAAAGTCAAAATAAACAAATGTATGTTGGTCTCAAACACCAGGCTCAAAAACGTTTTAAATGATCCTTCCTCATATTTTTGCTATTCCTGTTAGGTATACCATCAAACATAATTAATCCACCCTCAGAAACAATGATGTAAGATATAAAAGGATAGCAGATTTTAACTGAATGGGTGAATTGTGTCCATAATGGAGCCGGTTTTTATGTAGACTGTCGTGTTTTTTAAAGATGTAATTTCATATAATTGATTAATGATTATGATTCTGTTGGCCAGAACAATGGCTAAATATTTTAAATGCTGCCTTTTACATTTTTATATTTCATGAATTGTTTTGTGGTTTATAATTTGTTTTACTCTGTAATTTTTTCTATACATTTGTTTGGCTATTGGATGGCAATAATGACTATATGTACCGCTGCAAGAAACATTACTTAGCAGTAGTAGTAATAAATAACCTTCTTTATTGTTTCAAAAGTACCACAAATGATTATTAGATAAAATACAATATGGATCAATCAGTACAGATTTTATTACATTGACTGCAGGTCTAATTAAAATAATTTATATTGCAGGCAAATGTAACAGGACTAGAAACATACTCGGTGCATAATTTAACGGGGATAACTTAACCAGGTCACTATACAGTATGTCTAATATCTAAAATAGACCATGTTTTCAGTCCCTGATTTTAGCAGTCTATTCACACCCTGCATGTGGCCACAAATGGTGTTGAGTGTTATATTATCTATTTCTTTCTCCCCAGCAAATATGTTCAGCTTCCTATAAAGTAAAATATACCCACCTCAGAAATTTAAAAAGTGTGACAACTAACCGCAGACTTCCCTATATGCAATTACATTTAAAAGCGGATTGCCAATAGCCTTCTTTGTCCATTTTTAATATTATTTTCAATTATGCTAGTCTGGAGTGAAGGATCATATCCATAACATATTTAATATAAATATGAATAGCTTACAAAAACTGTATGTAATGGTATTCTCTGTTGTATTGGAATACATCATCTCAACATCATACAACGAAAAAGCTTCAGTATAGAAAGTTACAAAGATTAAATGTTTTATTGTTTCATTATTCAGCATATATTATTATATTAATGATTTGATCAATATTCATATTATTGGATGGTTAATAACATACCTGTGATAGAGCCTGATAATATTTAATCTTGTCAGATTCTTCAGCAGTAAGTTTGTTGCTCTCTTTACAAGGAATTTGATCGTTTGTTCGGGTGATGTTTTCTTCTGTCAGATTCCAGCACACCACAGCGTCACCATCAATCAAAACTGTTATGATCCATAACGCAGAAAGAAACAGGTTTCTCATAAAATTTTTACAGGAAAATCTTCTGCATGCCTGATAGAAACGTGCACGAGAGCAGGCTGAACAGGAGCAGGATACATGGAGAATGTTCCCAAGTGTGCAGTCTTCATGGGACCATAACGCACGTATACAAGAACACCACAGTGCAGAAATAATTGTAAATGTTTTAGCGGTTAAGGTCAGTATTAAAAAAAGTCCGATAAATGGAAGACCAATATATAGTCCGCAGAACCACTGATAAAAATCATTACATGGGCACTGAAAGTCCAGTTTGAAAGTGTACTGAAAAACAAGAAATATAAAAGCAATTGCAAATGCACTGCCAGAAGTCAGCTTATTCAGCAAGGTGGATTCAAAGATTGGATGTTCTGGATGCACCATGTTGGCAGATCCTTGCAGCTCAGACAAATTTGAAGTACTACATTACAGGTTCGTACAGTAGTTAAAACATACTCCAAAAGTAGCAGCTTCCGGCTCTCCTGTCTCCTCCCCTTGCTATAATGAAAGCTGATTATCTTGGTGTGGAAAAGAAAAAAGTGTCAATACCAGCATTATTTTAATCCTTGTACATTTCACAATTTATTTTGTTTTTCAACATTACTATTATCTTGTAGATATTAAATGTTTGGCACTAGTAAAATGAACATTAAGCAGGTGAGCAGACTTTCTCACGGACAGACAGGAACTGCCACCCCCCTAACTTGTGGTGCAAATATGTTGATGCCATCTGAGATGCAAGCATCTTACTCGTATAGAAAGCCACAATTATGTTATATGCATTGTATGTGGTCAGTATGTGCTAATTTGTTGTGCATGTGGTAAGTACCGGAGTCGTCACATGTCCTTCCGGACGCTCCTTCGTCGAAATCACCTGCTGCGCCGTTCTCAAGCCCACGCCTCTGCTCACTCTAACCCTCCGAAACTACTTTGTTTGGCCTTCCAAAAATGGACACGACTAGAAATCAGTGGTTAAGTTGTATTTACAACATTAAGTCTTCACCGACTTGACATAATGTTGCTTGTGCCCCCCGGGATAAACTTACAGCACATTTAATAGGCCTGAAAGAGAGCATGTGCTCTGTTCTGTAACTGCTGTTGCCACTCCAGGCCTGGTAACAGGCATAGTCTCCTTTCTCCAGGATAAACGGCTGGCCCTGGAACTCAGGATACTCGTACCCCACCCAGCTGAGAGAGACAGAATGTCATAGTCAACGCAAACCAGGAAACAACAAACGTTTTACATGGCAGTGATCTCTACTGATCAGGACACAAAAGCAAACACAATAGTGTGGACTGAATGGAGTGGCTCTGTGTTCCTGTATCAGCTCATCTGTCATCACAGACAAACGCAACACAGCAGGCAGCTGCCAGCCACAGGGACTATCGCTGCTGTCTCTCTGTCATTGTTCCAGTTTGTATAAATATAACAGCATTCAGGCTATAGTTACAGTTGGAAATACTGTTTATAACTATGAAATAGGTGATAGGATTTCGGTACAAGAAAGAGTCAGATTTTTGTTTGTTTTGATTTTCACATCATTTCAGGTAACTGGTATCAATCTCAGAGAGGTTTGTTCAATAGTTTGCCAGGTCTTCTTAGGTACATGGAAACCCTACTTAAAGAGATTGTTCCACATTATTAAGCAAGTCACAGTTCTCAAGAAATATGGTGAGGAAGAAAGATCTTTCTGAAGATGAAAAGTATAAAACAATGCAATGTCTTGCAAAAGGCATCAAAACAAACAATATTTTGCGAAAAGCAAATTGAAATTATTGAACTGTCAAAAGATTTGTGAGTGACTTAAAGCACAGAAGATCTTGGTCAGATAAAGATTGATTAAGGAAAGTTTCTGTCAAACAAATGAACTGTATTGTAATCACAGCTGTAAAAAAGCCACTGCTGAGCAGCAAACAGGTGTTTGAAGCTACTGGAGGCTCAAGATCCTCTCCATGCAGACTGACAGTTGTGTGTAAAGCTACGTTTCAGTCACTGCTAACCAAACCTCACAAAGAGAAACCTGAACAGTGGCTGTAGAAACACATGAAGACTTGTTTTTAAATAGTTTTATTCACTTACAAATGCTGCAGTACAATGGATGGTCCAGATAAATGGATTTCTGATAGTTGATGAAAGGCCATCCTATTCCAATGAGACTGCAACATCAGCAAGGAGGCGGTGGGTGATGATTTGGGTTGGAATATTGGGAAGTGAGATGTAAGGTCATTTTAGGGTGTCAAAATGACTTCTGCAAGATATGTGGAGTTCATAACTGACCATTTTCTGCTGTGGTATAAAATGAAGAATAGTGCTCTAAATAAAAGGATTTTCATGCAGGACAACACACTATCCCATGCTGCATAAATACCATGGTGCTAAACAGTTTGAAAATGTGTTTCTACAGCCACTGTTCAGGTTTCTCTTTGTGAGGTTTGGTTAGCAGTGACTGAAACGCAGCTTTACACACAACTGTCAGTCTGCATGGAGAGGATCTTGAGACTTCAATAGCTTCAAACACTTGTTTGCTGCTCAGCAGTGGCTTTTTTACAGCTGTGATTACAATACAGTTCATTTGTTTGACAGAAACTTTCCTTAATAAATCTTTATCTGACCAAGATTTCTGTACTCTAAGTCACTCACAAATCTTTTGACAGTTCAATAATCTCTATTTGCTTTTCGCAAAATATTGATTGTTTTGATGCCTTTTGCAAGACATTGCATTGTTTCATACTTTTCATCTTCAGAAAGATCTTTCTTCCTAACCATATTTCTTGAGAACTGTGACTTGCTTAATAATGTGGAACAACCTCTTTAAGTAGGGTTTCCATTTACCTTAGAAGACCTGGCAAACTATTGAACAAACCTGTGAGATTGATACCAGTTACCTGAAATGTGAAAAACAACACAAACAAAAATCGGACTCTTTCTTGTACCGAAATCCTATTGATGTCACTTGCATAATAATTTGGAACACAGTGTGTATGAATATATATATATTTATATACATACACACACACACACACATACACTACCATTGAAAGGTTTGGGGTTGGTAAGATTTTATGTTTTTGTCTCTTTGGCTCAAGGTGGCATTTATTTGAGCAAAAATACAGTAAAAACTTTAATATTGTAATATATTTTTACAATTAAAAAATGTTTTCTATTTTAATATATTTTAAAATATAATTTATTCCTCTGATATCAAAGCTGAATTTTCAGCAGTCATTACTCCAGTCTTTAGTGTCACATGATTCATCAGAAATAATTCTAATAGTCTGATTTGGTGCTAACTAAACATTTCTTATTACTATCAATTTTGAAAAAAATTTCTGCAATGTTTACATTGTTTCAGGATTTTTTTGATGAATAAAAAAGTTCAAAAGAACAGCACTTATTTGAAATAGAAATCTTTTGTAACATTATGCCTTTACTGCCACATTATTTTCTTCAAAAAATTATTTAAAAAAAATCTTTAGTGTATATTTATTTTATATTTGTGCACATATTACTTTTTACAAATATCTCACTGTATCAATCAATCAAAATATATCTCTTATATTAAATATGGCAGTCATATATCCTTCTCTGCTTCATCTTTTGCACATTAAAACATCCTAAGGTTAAACTTACGGGCCGTTCTCCACATTAATGGAGCGAATCTTTCTGAAGTCTCTATCCAGAATGTTCTGGCACTCAAATGTGAATTCACAGCTCTTGCCCTGGAAGTATTCCTCCTCGAACACAGTCATCCTAAACTTCCCCCTCTGCTCCAACTGCTCCTGTGGATTCATGGCTGCTGTCGATCACCACACTCTCTATCAGGAAAATGAGGAGAGGAGAGGGGCATAACCAAGACCACAGCGTGAATTCATGCACATGTGAGACATTCCTGGGTCGATCAAGTGAAAATCGATTCCTGGATAAAGTGTTGACAGTATGTGTTTCCTGCTGGCATGATCTTTTTTTATCATTGCACAGGTATCTGATGTTTCACTTTGAGGGCTAAGACAGTGGCATACTCACGTACTGAGGTGGGACAGATCCAGTATAATCAATGTGGTGGCCAAGCCCTTTGTCCAGTGTTTTTATAGGACAGGGCCCCTCATTTAGTGCAGCATGCGCATCAGGCCTGCACAATCAGCAGCAGCAAACAGAAAAAATGCATTAGCCTTCACCATTGTGGAGCCCTGTGCAGCCTATTGTGAGGTCTTAGACCCACTGACTCATCAAAACTCCACTATCTGCCCCCACACCAGACCCTTGGCTATTTACAATGGTGATGCTTTGACATTAGACTTTGAACGGATAGAGCAGATAATAGCAGAATTGCTAGAGATTAGACTTAGCCCTGGTCACTCTCTGGTGCCTGCTTGTAGATGTTCTCTATGGGCAGAACTGGCTGCTGTTGACCTAAAGGAGGACTTCACTCGCACTCAAATTTTTCTGAAAAATAATGATATTAGAATACATTTCACAAATAATTTGATCACAATATCCACCTTATTTAGACAACGCGGAAGTAAATTATTTTCTTTGAACCTGCGAGACTTCCATTTTTTTAGCTGCTGTAGAATAAGTAATTAGTGCAGTAAACGATAAAACTTATTGCGCTACAAACCAGTGCATTTATAATTACGATAGTGAATATATTCGGATGTGTGCAGCACATTTTATGGAGGACTGTTTCCTGATCCTGGTAGAGTAGACTACAATGCCGGCTGTTCTGACTCAAAGACTGTAAGTACGTCTTTTATATTTAAAGAGTTTTTATATTTTATATATTTAAAGCAAGTTTTTTGGGCAGTGTAGAGTAGTGCTTGTTGTTTGTCATTTCTCCGATCACAAATGCAGACATGGTTTTATGTTTACGCGGCGCGATGCAACGCAACGCGTAAATAGACAGTATAAGTCATTATAATCCACAATTATGTCCCCACTGGATGCAACGAATGCCTCGTTTATAATGGGTTTTCATGTTTTTGAATCATCGCTCAGGCCTGACAGGGCATCACAATATGGTAGGTGCGTAACATTTCCGTCACACGCTTGAGGTATTCGGCCAATCACAACACACTGGATAGCTGGCCAATCACAGCACACCTCGCTTTTTCAGACCGATGAGCTTTGTAAAAATCGACGCGTTTCAGAAAGGCTGGGCATAGAGGAGAAACAATAATGTACAGTATGTGGAAAATAATGTGTTTTTTTAACCTTAAACCGCATAAACACATTTCATTACACCAAATACACAAAATACTGTTCTTTTTAGCAGCATCATATGATCCCTTTAAGTTAAAGGAACACTCCACTATTTTTGAAAATAGGCTCATTTTCCAACTCCCCTAAGAGTTAAAAAGTTGAGTTTTACTGTTTTCAAATCCGTTCAGCCAATCACTAGGTCTGGTGGTAGCACTTTTAGCTGCAGCTTAGCATAGATCATTGAATCTGATTAGACCTTTAGCATCTCGCTCAAAAATGACCAAAGAGTTTCTATTCCTATTTAAAATTTGACCCTTCTATAGTTACATCGTGTACTAAGACCGACAGAAAATGAAAAGTCTCATTCCGGCATAATAATCAAGGAACTTTGCTGCCGCACCACCTGCTTGCACAGGGAGCGTGCTGGGGTCTATTTTCAGTCGCTGCGTAATATCATTGAGCCTGCTGCACCCATGGTGTGGGGAGTTGGAAAATTTGCCTATTTTCAAAAATAGTGGAGTGTTCCTTTAAGAAAACCCTTTGTCAGTACCCTTACAATAACCCTTTAGTCACAAATACCTATACCAGGGGTGTCGCTAGATGCTATTTCACAAGGCCCTGTGAAGTTTTGCTGTCCCAGTAACATTTTTTCTGATAAATCATTGTCGGACGAGGTAGATTATAGTAGATACAGCTAAATATAGGCTTTCCTATTCATTGAACTTTATTATTTACATCATTTGAATGACTTAAAACAGGTTGATTGCAAGTCAGTTGATGTGAAAATATCCTACACACCTTTGTCAATCATATACGCCTTCGCATCTCTCGCTGTGCTTCTCCTCACTTCACTTTTCCCACTTGCAGTCATACGATAATTCATAATAAGGTATTGTAGTTGAGGAGATACAGATAACTATCAAACTTCCTTACAGATTGTCTAGATGCTAAGTGTAAGGGAAACAGGTCAATTTAGCTCAAAGGGAATCATTTATGATTTATAGGGAATTTGGACAGAATCACTGTTTTACGACTGATCACTGAGTCGGCCAGAGATTCATTGAATGAGCTGTAAAACACTATTTATTAGCACAGTAACAAGATCGGCAGTTTAAGACATTAACTTGTAAGCACAAAACACAAGATACTTCTCTTTTCAATATAAATAAGGCTTTATTAGATAAATCTAAGACATAAACTAGTCTAACACATAAACACACGCACTCACACATTCACACAAGTTGCAGGAAGAGAGAAAGTGAGGAAAGAATGAGTTTAAGAGAATGAAAATGTGAAATCCCAAGTTTACAGCAATATGTGCAATTGTATAGACCTGAACAACCATCAATCACTTAATTAACCCTCAAATTGAGTTCCTCAATGAGGTTAAAATTTATATTAAATGCACCAGTTCAGCTAGAATCTGGAGGCACTTGCGTTGCCTGTAAGGGGTTTCTCTTTGTTGTCCTTGTTGCAGAAAAGGCGGTTTCCCGAGGTTGATAATTGGCTGGAAGTTCAGTAGTCGTTGAAGTGACATCTTGGGAAGCCAGTAGTTGGGTGTTGGCTGAAGATGCGGAGTTGTGGGCTGGTTGAAGTTTTGAGGCAGTCACAGACTCAAGGTGGACTCAGAGACAAAACTTAACTCAGAACACGAAACTCTCAATGGAAAATAAAATAAATTGAAGTAGAAGAATAGAAGTAACAAGACTAGATGGCTTTCTTCTCATTGTGGCTAAGTAGCAGCGGGCATGCAGGCCGAAGCACGCCTGAATGGCGCTGAAAGAACATTAAAAGCGATGACTAAAAAGCTAAAAGCATAATTTGATGGTGCCCTGAGTATTTAAACTGGGCTGTTGGACACATCCCAAATGGTGTCTTGACCAATTAGATATTGTATATATAATTTGGACATGATTTCTATAACCAGAATATAATATATTTTACAAGGTATTGATTGATAGAAACTTTTAAAACATGAATTTTCAAACTCATACATACTAAACATGAATATGAATCCTTAAGCTATTAAATAGTTATTAAAAAGACATACATACACAATAAGTGATTAGAACAAGATAGTCAAATGTGTGGGTTACATACATGATATGGAGTTAAGCAATGGACTGATATTCGTTTATAAGTCTTTTTGAGTTCATTTTGGTGCATATATACATGGAAAGGCAGTTTCTGTGCCATTCTGTGAAGTAAGAATGTGTTCTGTGAAGACCAAAGAGGTTTAAAGGTCTCATAAGGAATTTCAGACTGGTTCTTGTCCTCTAGGTGGGGGGAAGTCAATCCAAAGAGCTCGTGATCGTGATTACTATCATGGATTTACATGTGATGGTCATGCTGTGCATCACTTTGACTATCAATCTTGATTACGTGCCCCAAAATTTTCATAAAGTTTAATGTTGCAAGCTGTTCTGTGAAAGAGTTGGTTGGTTAGGCTTGCTTCAGACTAGGATCTAGGTCTGGCGCTAGTATCTGATTTACGAACATCCTGTTGTCTTGGGCCCCTTTGTGGAATTCAGCTCTTTGGGTTGTTCAACACCAATCTGATCGAATCTTAAAACAGTCGCTCTGATACCCATACACATCCCCCCTTACATTGGCGAGCGCTGGAGAAACAAAGGCAGAAGAAGCAGACAAACACAGCAAACAACAAGTCAACACCTCCATAACAGTTATTGTACTGGTGCAGGCATCAGGTTATTTAGGTACAGGTGGTTAAGTTCAATTAGTCAATATAGTTTAGTAAATTTAATATGTTTTAGTTAAATCTGTAAATTGTTCTAATTTGGTTCTGTACATTGATTCTTCGATCAACTTTTGTGATTAACTTTGTTTGGTTCTTCTAGGTTGTCTTAATTTAAAATGTTTACCGTTAATTTTCTAGTAACATCTTTTGCAATGAAATAAATTGACCTATCGTCCATGAAGCTCTCTGGCTTCCATTCAGTTTAGAGTGGCTGGCAGATATTAGGTGTGGCGAGTCAATCCTAATATCAGACATTTTTCCCTTGCAGGGTGTCTAGGAGTTTTACCTACTAAAGAAAGAAGGAAAGGAAAAGGACAGGCAAAAGAAAAACAAAACAAAACAAAGCTGCTGTGGGTTTTCCTAGCGTGGCTGGCAACTACTGTTGAGCTAGGATGTCATGTGCAGCTAGTGTGTCATGTATCTTAACTTAGTGTCAGGTGTTCTAGCTATTGTGAGGATGGCTGCATGTTTCTTCATGGTGGGTGTATGTAACTTTGTTATGCCAAAATTTGTATATTCTACTTGGGGGAAGAATACGTTTGTTGAATGTGTTATCAGTAGAGATGTGGTTACCTCTGGGTGTAGGTAATGTTGTGTGTGTTAATGGTGTAGTGTATGTGTGGAAGTTCTTTAGCAGACAGTCGGAGGTAGTTTGGCATGGCTGTGTGAAGCTGGGGAGCAAACTTTGTCTCCTATGTTGCATTCCTCTTGTGATGCCTTCTGGTTGTGGCAGAATTTCTGACCTTCTGTGCTTTGGTGGTTGCTGTTGCACAGACAGGAATGTGGTTCCTTGCTCGTTCTGGGTGGTTGTTGAATAGGTGCTTGTCATCTCTGATATGGTGGTGTACCAGGTGATCACGGGCCTTCCGTTCTGTCACTGGTCACAGCAAGCATGACTCAACTTTGTGGTCATTCGTGTTCAGCTTGTCTTGAAGGAACTCTTTCATTTGTCTCATGACTTGTTTCATGTCTTCTGATGGTAAGCCATCTTATTCTTGTGCATACTCGGCACTGTGCATGTCTGAGTGGTGCTGAGGTGGGTTTTGTTGTTGCTTACCCACACGAGTTGCTCTTGGATGAGTCAGGCGAATACCTTTGGATGTCTGGTTAGGT